TTGACAAATATTTTAGTTACAAATCTATAAATTATTAAGTTATACATTATTAATTACTTGATTTTATATGATATTATCGATTTTACCTTCCTATATGTTGCTTTATTTTTTTAGGAAAATTAATAGCACTCTTATTTAAAATTTTAAATAATTTTGGGAAAGAATTCTGCCTGCATGCGTTCACGATAATAATTCTTCCCTTGCGTTCACAATAATAATTCTTCCCTCGCATTAGGACAACGTGTGTGTATGCTGTATATGTCTATACTGCTAAAGCTTCAGACTCCCTAAGTGACTTCATATGAAAGCATGGGTGAGAATAACCTAGTGAATCTATGCATACCATTAAATAAGTCAAAACAATTATGTTTTTATTTGTTGGTTCGTTGTTCTGTATGCTCAGTAATTTCTTACTGTAATCGTAGGTTGGCATGGCAACAAATATTCCACCGCATAATCTTTGTGAGCTTGTGGATGCTCTCACAATGTTGATTCATAATCCTGATGCTTCGGTAAGCATGTCGTTCATCTTTTAAATGAATTTATTCAGATAGCTTTTTGACGTATCAGTTAAAGTAGATTGCAAGGAAGGCAACAATTTCTTTGTTTTTTTTTTGTATGTTTTTTTTTTGTATTCCTCTATGACATGAAGACTAGCATAATCTCCAAGGCCTGCCTAAGACTTATTTTGTGGTGTCTAAAAGTTCCTTCTTTGCATGGCTATGCTAATTTACTTGTAAGTTGTAACTGATCATTATCTTTTGTCAAAAGCTTCAAGAACTGCTGGAATACATGCCTGGGCCAGACTTCCCAACAGGAGGGCTGATCATGGGGAATATCGGGTATGTCTAATTTCCCTTCTGTTTTATGCTATGATTTTTAATCTTTATTTAAGACTTGGATTACTTTTTTTCTTGTACTTCAAGAATTTTGGAAGCCTATAGAAGTGGTCGGGGACGTATAATAATTAGAGGGAAGACTGAAGTTGAGTCCCTAGATGAGAAGACAAAACGCATAGCAATTATCATTAAAGAGGTCAAGTCGATCCTATATTTAGCAAATTTTTATTTTTTGCTTTGTTGTCTCATTGGCTGGCGTTTTGTTTCATTTTTTCCCCCTGTTTTAGAGGACTGCAGTTTCTCTCATCTAAAGCTTTGCAACTGTATTGCAGATCCCTTACCAGACAAACAAAGCTGCACTAGTGGAGAAAATTGCTGAACTAGTTGAAGATAAGGTATCGAATTTTTTTCTTGGAAAATTCTCGTATTGTATCAATATAATATGCATGCATGTGGTGGAAACAATATCATTTCTGATTTGTACAGTCCCATGCTCTTTCTTTGGTGGCTAGGGGCAATATTTTAGGCTTACAATTGTGATTGAACTAATTATTTTTTTTTTCTTTACATGGCTCAATGAGATTGAACTAATATACACCAAACACCTTTTTCAAACGACATTGTTATCATACATAAATTCAGATTCTTTGTTCTTTTGTCAACATTTTATACATATTCATTTAGGAACACAATATGTAAACTTTTAGATTGCATTAATTTTTATATTCAACTAATAAGAACTTATTATTAGCTAAAAAGGCATTCGAAAGTTGATATATTAGTTCAAGCATTTATGAAAAGGAAGATCAGAAAATAAGAAGCCTTTTCATTTTATTCCATATAGTACCAACACAAATAAATTTAAGAGACTTGATGTGTAAGATGCATAAATTATTCTCATAAGACATATCATACAACAAAAACAACATCAAGCCTTTATCTCACTGTGTGGAGTCGGCTGGATGAATCTTTTTTCTTTATTGTATCCCTTAAGAGTTAAATTCTTATTTAAATTTAATAAAAAAGTCATTTCTAATACTTTCTAACAAAATTTTTTAGGTCTACCTCTATCTTTCTTAACATAAGCCAGATCTAATACTGTCACGACCCGGCCCGGCTAGCCCAAATTAACGGTACGGGAACAAACAATCGTACGGAAAACACATATAAATCATGACAATTTCATTTACTTTTATAACATGACATAAACATTATCATCATCAATACATAATAAGAAAGAGCCACTAAAAACATCAACTGAAAGTTTATCCAATAAAGTTCTTCTAAACCTCAACCACTAAATCCATAAACATAAACATAAACATAAACGTAAATTCCAATAGACTCAAAACAAATCATTGACTGAAACACATAGAATAGAAAACATAAAACCTTTCTTTCTGAGGTCCTCTACGACGGTAGGTGTACTGTCGTCTCGTAGCAATCACTTCTTAACACTATCTTCTGAAAAACATTTCCAATAATAGGATAAACTAACGCTCGGCAGGTAATAAACATTTATCTTAAATTCATGAAATATTTTTCTTTTCTTTTTAAACATGTCATTAAGCATGAAAATGAAATAATTAAAGATCATAATAAACATTTATAGGCATAAATTATAATACATTTTCATAATCATTTTCTTAAAATATTTCCTTTAATCCTTCGTCATTTCTTTTTCATAAAACTTTCCTTTTCTTTAAATCCTTCCATATGATTGCATAAATTTCATAATCATAATATAATAATCACCCGTTCCGGAAGTACCAGAGTTTTGTACTAATCAGGTACACAGTCATTGGCCATTCCTTTATCATTTGGCTCCAAAGAATCCCATTACCATTTGACTCCGTAGAACCCCATTACCATTTGGTACTTTCGGATTATCATGCACATGCAATTCATAATACTTATGTTCATTAAGGAGACTAAAATTATTCATTACATCATACGTTCTTCGATGATTTTCGGGTAATAAATTTTGTATCTCTTATGCCTTAAGTTTGTTTAATTAGCTTTAACATTTCTAAGTACCATTTCATAAGTATAAACAATAATTGAAAAGCTAAAACAATAAATAAGAATTTATAAACACTAACTTGTAACCTTTGAAAGTGCAGTATTACTTAATTAATTTCATAAACTTAATTAAAATGTAATCACCTACCTCGCAAGTATCGAACAACAACCACTACGATGCACGATGTTGCTTAACCACATGCCGTCTCTTTAATCCACACCTAAAGATAATCACAACTAAACTAAGTATAAATCACCAATATTTTCAATAATTAATATAATTAAAATTATATTTTCGGAATTATTATAAATTCAAATTGTAGGAAACCCTAAATCTTCAATTTCACTCAAATCATTATGATAAAAATTCTCTTAAACCTATTTTAATAATTACCTTAATTATTTTCGGATTTAATTAATTAGAAAATTATAAAAAATGAAATTCTTACTAAAAACCAAAATTTTCATCATTAAAACACTTCTAATATCATAAGGAATAAAAATTATAGAAGGGTTTGCTTAAAAATCATAAATTAGGAAAAACCCTAATCTTTCAAAACTCAAAATAATTTGAGAAAAATTCGTTTCTACTGTTAAATCACTTCCCTAAAATTTCCCTATTGATTTCATAAAGAAATTAGGAAGAAAATCTCATTATATTTGAAAACCCTAAAAATTCCTTTCCAAATATCTTGAGAAAGAGAGAGATTCGCTTCAAATAAAACATACCTTATTACTCCCCTTGTCATCCTCTTTGATTTTCCCTTTTGTGTTGTAGCGGATTGTATGAATAATTTAATACTCATTGTATGCTTGTGTATATGCCTACAAAAGGAGTATCATCAATTGTGGGCAAGTTCACTATGCTCATATGTTTGTATGTTGATCTTAACTGTGAGGAGTTGTATTTGTCGTCATCTCCCTTATACACATTGATCGCCATATTTGCTTGTGTACTGATTTTTATCATTTGTTGATATTTGAATTTTAATTGGCATGCTGTTTCTCAACATTTACTTAAAACTTCATACTTATGATCATAGTCACGTTGATTGGAATGCCTCTATATTTAACAAATCATTAGTGTTAACATGTGACTTGTTATACGTATCATGGTTCTTTCATCCTTGAAGATAGCTTCAGAATGCTCCCAATGACTAATGTCCCTTCGATATCTTATTCTCATTCGATATGAAGGTTTTGAGCGTGTAGGAAACTTCATTATGTTGACCATAGGTACACTGCCACATGTCTCACAATTCTTATTGAATGCATTGTTCGTAGGCAAGCTATGGTTACAAATCCTTTGCTTTCATATATAATTTGCAACATACATGAGAATTTTTCACAGATCTTTCTTCACATTCAAATGAACTGTTGTATTTATGCAAGTGTCGAATTCCTGTTCATGATCATATGCAGGTGATTGCATTTTCTTGTGCATATATTGCTCTCCACTTGTAACGAATTTCTTTGAGCTCAAGTTCAAGTGTAGCCACTATTTCATATTCAGGTCCATGTCTCCTATGATCTTATTTAGCTCAAGTTCAAGTTCAAATTCAACTCAAGTTTGAATCCCATGTAATGTTGTTTGTCATATTTAAACTTGCAAGTCTTCACCTTTTGATTCAAGTTTAAGTCATTCAATTTTAAGCTCCTTGCATTCATTCATTCGAGCTCAAATGTGGTCCTTTGTGTCATCCGATTCAAGTTTCAAGTCCACAAGTCTATTATTGCTTAATCAAGCCCAAATCTTATGTTGTTCTTTGAATTCGATTAAGTTCTTTTGTATTATTCAAATTCATTTGAGTTTAAAGTTCATTTAGGTTCATTTGGTTCACAAGTCCACTGTTCACTTGAGTCCAAATCAGGTCCAAGTACAGTCTTATATTTACCTGAAATTTCGGCAACCTCCAAACGCCTCCCCCGTTTAGGGCAAAACTACGGAAAACTGGCCCTCCCACCACGCTAGAGAAAAGCGTGTACGGTAGGTGCCCTCGGATGAGGACACCGCGACCGTAAAATCTTCGTCCCCACCACGCTAGAGAAAGGTGTGTATGGGTCTTCGGTACATGTTGCAAGAAAAGCAGTTGTTTCCCCGTAGGTACAGAGCCGTGTACGAGTACTTAAGAGTTTTCCTAGCCACACTAAGAAAAGCATGCACCGGGCCTACCTGCCTCGTCTTAGGTGTCGCACCGGGTTCCCTCCCTCCACGCTAGAGAAAAGCGTGCATGGGTGGTTTGCCGGCTCGACAAGAACGCCGAGGACAGGATTTTGGAGCCGAGGGGTCGTTCACCTACCTCGTCATAGGTGTTGCACCGGGTTCCCTTCCCACCACGCTAGAGAAAAGCGTGTATGGGTGATTGACCGACGTGTCACGCATACCAAAGTAAGGGAAGGATTTATTTTTTTATAATTAATTAATAATTATAATTATCTTTAATTAATTATTTTTATTTATAGTTAATTATAATTAATTAAAGTAATTAATTTATAAGTATTATCAAACAAGAAGGGAAAGTCGTTGAGGGAGCAAAGTCGGGCAACAGGGACGGGTCGAAGAAGCTCCCGAAAGGGAGAAATTACCTTCGCAGCGCGCGGGCTCTCGTTCGTGCTTCCGATCAAATTGTAGTAACTTCCGATCCACAGGAGGGAATGTCATCAAAGGGGCGCGGTCGAACAACAACGAAGAAGCCGAAGAGGGGCTTCAGCAGATTTACGGGATCTAGCCGAAGAAGCGTGCGAGCGAGAGAAAGTTAACTTCACAGTCGACGGGCGCCTGTTGTTGCTTCCGCCAAAATGGCGTAACTTCCGATCTGTAGGGAAAGGAAAGTCGTCAAACGAGCGAAGTCGAACAACAAAGAAGAGGCCGAAGAAGCTCCCGAAAGAGAGAAAGTTAACTTCACAGCGAGCAGCTCTTGTTGTTGCCTCAGATTAAACGTCATAGCTTCCGACCCGACAGGAAAGGAAAGTCGTCGAGTGAGCAAAATCGAAAAACAACGAAGGGCCGAAGTAGTGTGCGAGAGGAAGAAGGAGAAGAGCAGCCGGAGCCTTCGCTTCCTTCGCTATTTAACGATGTGAGGAGTAGGTCATAGCGGTATGGCGAGATGTGACTTCGATCATGGGAAGAATGGCGGCGATGTGCGAGGTTCGGCGCAGGACAGGTATGCACGATCTCTCCTTTCTTTTTATTCGGCAGGTCAACAGCGAGAAAATGAAAGGGGGAGAGGAGACGGAGGCTTCAGCCTGTCCGTTTGAGTGGCTCCTAGCTAGAGAAAAACAGAGAGATGGAGAGAGAGGCGCGAGTGCCTTTGAACAGAGAAGAGTGAGAGAGAGCGAGAGCCTCTGTGAATACTTGGAGCTAGGCCCAATG